GGCCTCCATTCCCTAGTCGCCTTTTTGCCAACATTAAGGCTTCAATCCCTGAGTTGAGATTTTAGACCTAGGGCATCCATTCCCTAGTCGCCTTTTGCCAACATTAGGGCTCCAATCCTTGAGTTGAGATTTTTAGACATAGGGCTTCCATTCCCTAGTTTCCTTTTGCCAACATTAGGGCTTCAATCCCTGAGTTGAGATTTTTAGACATAGGGCCTCCATTCCCTAGTCGCATTTTTTTGCCAACATAGGGCCTCCATTCCCTAGTTGAGAATTTTAGATATAGGGCTCCATTCCCTAATCTTTCCTCCTAAAAACACATAATCCTTATTTTATCACTTTAAAAAAAATGGAGGTGCGACGGATGTCACTAGTGGGCCGACCAGCGACTGACAAGCATTGATGGTTCTTGGGAACCAAACCAGCGGGACATTCTGGTCACATCTGTCGCTTATGTCATGGAGGCGACATCATGACCGAGGTATCGAGAAATCTAGGCTCAAATCGTTTCTTATTCTTCCATTGTAAGAAACGCGGGGACTACCTGTATAAGGTAAAAATCAAGGAGACCCGATTTCATGAGCTCGGGGGTATACCTCGAGAGTGAACCTGTACAGAAGCGAGTTCGGGCTCGAGGGACGTGAAGACCGAGGAATCGAGATTAGGCTAGATTAATGTTGCAGTAACATAGTCATGTATTATCCGCAATCGACCATCAACCCCAACAAGAATGTCGGAATCGGTAGAACCATTAACGATTAATGATATCAATCATGTATTTTACTTCCGATATTAGAGTCATTCCTTATTTAGTATTCCTCTACTATATAAAGAGGAACCATATTCATTTGTAAGAGATCAATACAATTATCATTATACATGAGTTCTCGCTTACACTTCTACTGAGAAATACAAACACTCTTTTATTCGTTCTTGACTCTTTATAGTTCTTATTATTCATCCTGATATTGCTACTCTTACTGTTCTTGGCATTTGATCTCGAGTCTAAATCCAGATCGGGGTCGATAACTTGCAATTATACGGGTTTGATCTATTTAAATCGCTTAAATTCCTTTATTTATTTAGCTATTTATCAATTGGCATTGAATTAGATCACGTATCCTTATAACCACATTACAAGTTTAATTGTTACTCGTATTTCGAGGTAAACAAAGCATAACAAAAAAATGAAAATATATTAGCTTTACATATAGTAAATTATAACTTTATTTTATTTGTTATATCTGGCAAATGTAAATCAACAAAAAGGTCGAAAGTGTCAATATTAGAAATATATTAAAATACAAACAAATTGTTTTAACAGCCCACTCCGCTAGTGATATTATCCCTCTTGGCCTAGGCCGTCATAGGTTTAAAATGCGTCACTAGGATCTAAATCATGTCTACTTATATATCCATCATCTCTCTCGTGTTTTGTCGATGTGAGATTTGCCTAGGGTATCACATACACCCCCTTAGGGACTCATTGTCCTTGTTGATGTTTGTCCCACCACCGTTCAAGGTTGCACGCGGAGTGGCTCTGATACCATATGTAACAGCCCGGCCCGCTAGTGATATTTTTCGCTCTGAATCCAGATCCTTACGGGTTTAAAACGCGTCACTAGGGTCTAAGGCATGTCTACTTATATACCCACTATCTCTTCCATGTTTTGTCGATGTGAGATTTGCCTAGGGTATCACACCATATGTTAGGGTATCACATCATATGTTATAGCCCAGTCCGCTAGTGATATTGTCCGCTCTGGGCCTAGGTCCTCAGGAGTTTAAAACGCGTCACTACAATTTAGTGATTTTGTGTGCTCTGGACCTAGGCCCTCACGAGTTGATCTAAAACTTATCTACTTATATACCCAACATCTTTCTCGAGTTTTGTCGATGTGGGATAGGATGCCTAGGGTGTTTATTTGCTTAGTGTGTCACACAAATCCAAATAGAGCGAAGTGGATAAGCATTCATATGTGGAAGTGGACCCAATTTTCTTAAGACTAGTTTTAGTGTACGTGCATTGCACGTGTATTGTGCACCTATCGATAAAAAAAATATGGAATATTGAATAAAAATAAATTATGTGTAATAGCAATTGATGTAGAGATAAATATAACGGTCATTTAATTGAAAAAAAAAATATTTTATCTAAAAATATAAATGTAATGACAAAGTTAAATTCTAGGGATAAATTCATGCTTAGAAACACTTTGGCCATGTTTATCGGAAAATGTACTTTTTTTTAAAGCTTCTACTACTATTCGAAAGCACCTCAAAATACCTTAACTCTCTAAAATAAGTATATTTAAAAAGAAATATTTACCTTTGACTTCCCAAAAAACTTGGTCAAACAGGCTCGCCTACATATTTTGGATGTGAGCAATGTGGCAGGAATCGACCTTTTTTACTTTATCTAACTCAATTTAAAGTTTGATCGTCCAATTCATAGAGCCGTAAAAAAGCCACTAAACAACCAAACTACATTATCTTAACGAATCCATTCTACGAGCTACTATAGGTTTGATAACTTTGAAAAAAGAAATATATGGACATATAAGTATATAACGGAAATAATTACGATATTAAATTAAAAGGAAAAAAAGAAAGGAGAAATTAAATATAACCCTAAAATTTGTGAATTCTAATCAACCTAAAAGTGTATGAATCTTCTTTTATAAGATTCAAGTGTCATAGTATATTATGATACAACAAACGATCTAAAAGAATACCACATACAAATACTACAAATAGAGTGATGTAATGAGTATTACAATATGGAATATCATCAAATCAAGTAATTCATAAATTTGATTATGAATGCGTAAAATTCCATGTTCCCAAAGTATCTATACACTGAAATACAGTAAAAATAATATTACTATGGTATTACACGTAAAAACTTAGCAGAGTTTATGCCAATAAACGCATCGCAACCTAGAACAAAAACCGCGTTATAGAAATTAAGTGGGCGTTTGGACATAAGAACTGTAAAATTCCAAAAAAAAAGTGGTTTTTTTTAAAAGTAAAAATGGTATTTGAAAATTAGAGTGTGTTTGGACATGAATACAATTTTGGGCTATTTTTGAGGTTTTGTGAGTAATATGAGTGAAATTTTTGAAAAACAACTTTTTGGAGTTTTTCAAATTTTTGAAAAAAATTTCAAAATTCATCTTCAAATGAAAATTGAAAATCTTATAGCCAAATTATGAGGTTGTTTAGACTATAAGAACTAGTTTCCGGTGTTAAGTAAATTAAAACTTGTACATGTAAATATTTTAATTAGATACAATTTGTATGCCCACTAGTTGTTTACATTCATCCGTTTCTGGGGCAAATTTCTTGTGTCCTTTTAATTTTTTTTATTGTACTCTTTGTTTTTAATTATAGATACATCACTAAGCAGAAGGTGAATTAAATCTTATTTCTTAAATAGCATAGTTCTTTCTAACTTTTAAATGTCTATGAAATATAATCAGGGTATATGTGTGTTCATGAATGGTTTTTGGTACGATTTGTTGCATAATAAGTGCGAACTGCGATAAGGCGATACTGATTTGATACACATGAATTTGCTTGCAGCAACATTTATTTGTTATATAGCAATCTTCTCTATTTTTCTTTTTGGTTGCTAATAAATGACCAAAAGTACGTAGAAGAAATTGAGGAAATTTTAGGACCTTCCTTTTGATATGTATATTTTGATGGCTTAACATCTATATAAATTAAACTCAATTATTGCCTTCTTTTAATTAGCATTGGTTATAAATGTAATCGTACTTGAATAACGTACAAGCGAAGAACTTGAATAATTATAAAATTTTCAATCATCACTCATGAGAGTCGAGATATATTATTTATTATTTTCAATGACTTATACTTTTTAAATTTTATTTTATAATTCAAATATATTATTTAATAATATTTACGTGCCTCTTTAACATTGTGTAATTAATGTTATGAGGTAGCATAATGGGATAAAGCCAATTAAATTCCTCGTATAAAACTTAGAAAAAGTATTAATTAATTAATGAGTTCCATAGAAATATATTTTCTTTACATAACTTGTTTTTACTTCGTTAGACAATTATCAGGAGTAGGAGATTTGACTTCCGGAAAAATCAATTGATTTCCTTGTATAAAACTTAGAAGTATTAATTAATGAATTAATATAAGAAAATAATAATAAAGCTTTTATAAATTAAAGATACAATGTATGTGCAAATTAGGACTCGTACAAGTTAAGATAGGAAAATATGTAGTAGTCAATATTTTAGTTGATTTCAAACACTTAAATATTAGAAAAAGAACTAAATTACTATTTTGTCTAGTGCGAAATCTATTTTGAAAGGGTAAAAAAGACGAACGACATTTCGCAAAGGGCTTTTTTGCTTTAGTTATAGTACTAGTATAAGGATTACTTTTTGTAAAGCAATCACATAAGTATTGCACGTACATTCTATATTCATGATTATTTTTTTAAGCAATGTATAATAATATATTAAAAACTGTGAGTTATAAATAAAAATATAAATTCCTGAAATTAATAATTATTGATCCTTCTGTAGCTAACTCAAAAAAGCAAGTAACTCAAAAAAGCAAGTCAAAAGTAATACGATAAGGTCAGCAAAATGACAAAAGACAACGTAGCTCTATAAGATAATTTCTAATTGATTATAACATCCTAAATATTGTAGGACTTTTTAAATAGTAGTTCAAATAAGAAAATTATTTAATATGTAAAATTTTAGTTAATTTTAAATTCTAAATATTAGAAACAGGGAATAAAAAATTACGATTTTATCCTATGAAATCTATTTTTAAAAGGTAAAAAAAATGAACTATATTTCTTTGTGTTTTTAATATAATATAGAAGATAAATTAAGAACAATAGCTAGTTTTTATTAATAATATACAAACAAACAAACAAAAAATAATAATAATAATAATAATAATAATAATATACAAATCTTAAATTCGTAACAATTACACTTAAATTACTTGGTTAAGTACTGAGTGTTAATAATAACTTTAGTAGTAAGGATAAATAATTTTCCTGACACAATGCAGGAGTACAACACAACACAAAATTAAAACAAACAGATATAAAACTTAAAAAAGGAAAGAAAGAAAAAAGAAAAGTTCTCCACTAACTTATTTTAATAACTTAATGACAACAATACCCTCATCCTTTTGTTAAATTTACAACAACACCCCCAACATTCAACACCCAAAACCACCACCCCCATCTTGACTGCTTCAAGAGTTTCGGGAAAAATCTTCAAATTTTCCAATTTTTAAACTTTGAGAATTTTAGCAGCTTTCACTACTGGATTTTCCCTAGCAATCGCATCACGACCAGCTGCCTTGTAATCATAACTACAGTCATGCCGATCGGAATACCTATGCTCCGAGCAAAACACTTCCCCGCACCGGCACCGGAACGGCATCAATCCAACTTTCCTACGACAACCTATTCCACAACACCTATTAGCTTCCCTCGGCCTCTTCATCGCCGCTTTTCGACCTACCAGATCGGTACTTTCCGGAGATGTAGCGGAAGTAGATCTCGATTCGTCTGTGCCGGAAAGTTTCGTATCTAATCTCTCCGACGAGCTATCGGAGCTGGAAAGTTTCAGATCTATGCTCTTCGGCGAGCTATCGGAGCTAGATCTGGATTCGTTGGTGCGAGAGAGTTTCAGATCTATTCTCTCCAGCGAGCTAGTGGAAAGTTTCAGATCTATGCTCTTCGGCGAGCTATCGGAGCTAGATCTGGATTCTTTGGTGCGAGAGAGTTTCAGATCTATTCTCTCCAGCGAGCTAGTCGAAAGTTTCAGATCTGAGATCTCAGGTGACCTTTTCGTATCGTTGGCTGAGAGGTGCGGCGGCGGAGCAGAAATTGGTAGAGTTGGGGAACACAAAGGGATGGATTCTGGAACCTTCAGCTCGGTCTCCTCTTTCTCTCTCTTCTGTGCCATAATTGATTTTAGCTCTGAAGAATTTTCTAGAGAGAAAAAGAGGGAAGGAAAATGAAATGCAAAAGAGGGGTATTGGGAGTTGTCTGGATGAGGGTTTTTAGAGAGAGAGAGGGTTAAAAAGATAGAGGAGTATTATAAAGGGGGATTAGAGATAAAGTCGGTACATATAGTTTATATTTCACGTACTTTGAAAAGATCTAAATTATATACATTATTTAATTTATTCAATTTATAAGATATATTTTATTTATTGAGAAAGTTAAATTGAATTAGTTCACCTTAATATTTTTAAAATTAAAATTTAAATATTAAAATATTATACAAAAACACTCTAAGTTGTAATTTTTTTTTATATCAATATGATTAAAAAATATAAGTTTGAGAAAAAGAATAATTAAAGTTGAAGTTAAAAAAGAGTATTTAGAAGCTAATTAGACTAACAAATGTTCATCTATACTCTGTGGGGTTCATCTATATTCTATAGGTCGTTTGGTTGGAAATAAGTTTTCCCAGAATTAATTATTCAGAAATTATTTATTTAATTATTTTACAGGAATAAAAAAATATTATAATCCCAAAATTAGTTATACGCAATTTTATTCTAATTAAACATGAGATAAACTCATTTTAAATTTAACTGCATAATTAATTATTCCTTATCTTTCGTACCAAACAAGCCCCACATATAATTAGAGTATGAATATACTCAAAACACACACAATATAAAAGAATGGGAAGAGGGGCAAGTTGAACCAGTTGTATGCAATCTCATCAAAACTATAATCTCACCACCCCTGAAAACGTAATTCTAAAGAAGTAAAGAACATGGATAGATACCCCCTTCTTAAAATTCTCTCTCGAGGACTCCTCTTGAAAGGAACTTTGGAGCAATCGTAAAATTGTCTCACGGGTTCGAATTGTGGAAGCAATCACTATTGCTTGCATTAGGATAGATTGTCTACATCACACCCTTAGCGGTGCGACCCTTCCCTGAACTTTACATAAATATGGGATGCTTTTAAATTTCTGTTCTCAAGATAGATCAACTGCAACAGTAGAAAGAAAATGTCCAAACGCAACTTTCCAACACTATTGCTACATTAGTTAGTAGATAAAATGAGCCAATGGCAGTTCTTTTTTAAAGTTGTCTAATGGGTGGGTCGGGCCGGGCCGGGCCAGGTCGAGAATAAAAGTGATCGGGCGGTCATAAAATCGGGCCGATTACCGAGTTTTCCATACCTGGCTTAACGGGTCCGAGCCTATCCGGGTAAAAATTGAACTGGAACGGTTAGTAAAAATAGCACGGTATAACAAGTTTTCGGAATGGTCATTCAAAACTAGCCAGTGTTTACGAAGTCAATGAAAAATAGCCACTATTTTAATGCAACAAAGATCGACCCAACATAATATACTGGAGTTCGGTGCACCTGTGTATGAACTCCAGCATATTATGTTGCACCAGTTTACTTTGCTGACTCCAGTATAATATACTGGAGACTAGAGCATCGGTGCTCCAAACTCCAGTATATTATACTGTACAATTATACTTGCTGGAACTCCAATATATTATACTGGAGTTCTAGTGTACTTATGCTGGAACTCCATCGTATTATGTTGGAGTTCCAGCATACTTATCTTGGAACTCCAGTATAATATGCTGGAGTTCAAGCATACTTATAATGGAACTCCAGTATAATATACTGGCGTATTTTCCGGGTTTTGAACAGGGTTTTCGCTCAGATTATCTTTACATGAAAAGTGGCTAAATTTCAATTACTTTTGAAACTGGGCTATTGTAAGCACGTGATTTTTGCCATATGTGAGAATTACTCCCAAAAATTCAAAATAAAACAATTTTCCTTTGTGTGCAATTTTGAGAATTTTCGTGACATTTTTGGATAATTATTTGTATTTGTCTATGCATATTTATTTATTAGACTAATAAAAAAATACAAAATATGTCGCATTTGCATTTAGGATTTAATTCTACAATTAGGAGCAATTAAATTTGTTTTACAAGAACAAAAATCATAAAAATAATGTACGTTGTAATTTTCGCATTTAATGTCCAAATTGTGTGATTTTATCGTTAATTGCTATGTAATTGTGTCTTAATTGTTATTAAGAGTTAATTAGCACTTTTATAAATTAATTTAGTTCTATAGGCTAATTTAGGATTTTTAGAATTTGAGTTTTATTTAAAGAAAAATAAAAGAAGAAAAAGAAGCAATGGAAATAAGAAGAAAATCGAACTGGGCCACCTTTTAAATTAAATTAACCAGGCCCAAACCAAATAGCCCCTTATCCAACCCAAAAAACCCACCGACCCGGTCTGCCCCTAACCAAAACACACCCCCCTTCTTCCATTTTTTATTTTTTTATTTTTCTAAAAACCCCTAACCTACAAAAAAAACTAAAACAACCGCCCCCCTCTTCTTTCTCCTTCTTCTTCGAACCCACCTCCCATGGCTGCCTTCTCCTTCATCTTCGTCGAACTCCAGCCAGTCCTCCATGGCTGCTGCTTCTTCTTCTTCGTCAGCGTCGCCAGCTGCCCGTCGACCACTCTTCAGTCGAGCAGCTGCCCCCACCTCCTTCTCCGTCGACTCCATTAGTTCTCCAAACCACCAACAGCCTCCTCACGTCCACCACGACTTCGTCGTCTCCCCCAGTCCGTCCCCAAAACGCACCTAAACCAACTCGCACGACCACCATAACCCGACGTCCTAAAATAGCCTCTCTCACGCTGCTGCTTCACTTGTCCGTGAACAGCCTCTCTCTACTGCTGCTGCTGCTTCACCCCTCCAATTCCAGCTCCCATGGACATGGCTGCCCTCCTCCTCTCATCAAGCAAACGACCACCGTCGACTCCATCAGTTCGTCAACCACGTTGTCGATACACCCAGCGACTGACGATGATAGTAGCATGTTTGACATGAAGGCGCTGCAGCAAAGTGATTTAACAGTAACGATGCTGACGAGGACTATGGGGATGGCGTGTTGTTTGAGCTACGACTGTATGCCAGGAGGATGCTGCAAGTTCTGAAGCAGTTGAAGGTAACAAGCTGCGTGTTTTCATGATCGAATGTAGTGAGCAGCAGTACAAGTTCATGAATCTGTCGTTCTTCTTGCTTGTTTTAATTACCTTGCCTCGTTCTAGTTTCTGTCTTTTTCTTGGTTATGTTATGTTGTTCTTTTCTTGTCGTTATTCATCATTTCTTGCATATGAAATCAGTTTGTTTTCATCCAGTATGTTGACAATGTTCATTTGTTTCTTGTTTAGGGTTAATCTAGAAGTGTGTTAGTTTAATCACTGAATCTTTATTTTGATGATATTTGGTCCGAATTGAGTTTCAAGCTTAAATTGTGATTTGAGTTTGATGAATCTTAATGTCATTGATTGGGAGTTAGTTTCATGTGTTTAAATTAGTCAATTGTTAGGATTTCTCGATTAAGATTGGTTATAGTTGCTATAGTTTGGTTAATTGATTTAGGAGGATTGAATATAGCTGATGGGGTAGAATGGTAATTTCAGTAGTTTCAGGGGCATTTTCGGGATTTTAAGTTTTAAAAAATGATTAATTTGAGTGCTCTGTCCACTAAGTACTAATAATATTAAATTAATACATTGTTTAATACATGGTGAGGGACAAGACATGTGATAGTGGGCAATAATGCATTGTTTAATATAGTGGGGGACAAGACATGTGGTAGTGAGAACTAATACATTTGTTTAATATAGTGGGGAACAAGGCATGCAAGAGTGGGGAACAACACATAATGGTATGAAAAGATTAAAAAAGGATTGATTAAAATATGTTGCACATACCTGTTTTGGGTTATAAATAGGGTCATTTCAAGACAGAAAGGGGGACTGGTTTTTGGAGAGAAAAAAGATCGGTTCTCTTTCAGTTTTTCGGGGCTGGTTTTTGGAGGAAGAAAAATCGTTTCTCTTCCAGTTTTTCTTAGAGTCTAGGCTGGATTTTTAACATTGTAAGCACGTGATTTTTGCCCTATGAAATAATTACTCCCAAAAAATTCAAAATAAAATGATT